TTAAGGATGATTATATGATGTCATTGTTTTAGTTTATAAAAGAGGGATATGTTAGCCATGGTACATTCCTGACTTATTTGTCATCTAAGTTTCTGGTACCATTTAAGAAAACAGGTTGCTGTCCTTAGTTGACCTTTACGCTGAATAGTAATATACATAGAGTAAGGTTTATAAATGAAATATACAAGACTACATACAAATTAAGTATTGCGGTTTAAATACAAATACGGTAGTAGAGACGCTACACATACATAATTAATCACCTTATACTATTTCAAACCATATGAAATTATTTGATCATTTATAGAAAGCTCAATAAAAAAAAAAAGAATATTAGGTCATTAACATTGCATAATGAAAGGATATTAGAAACATATTTAACTATTGTTGTTTTAATTACATTTCTGCTGATTTCATAATATAGATGAATTGTATTTGCATTGCAAATTATTGCTATAAGTTCTTACTCTACTCCAATTGATTCTTATGTCAATAAAAATAAAATTATAAAGAATGTATGTCATCGTTACATGAATACATGCCAAAAACCCTATTAAGGGGAAGATTTTAATGTTTTTGGTTAGTGTCCCCAGAATAGAGGTACCCCTATTCAAGGGACACACCTATTAAGGGTTCTACTGTATACAGTAAAACAAAATCATATACACGAATATTAGGGATTTATTTAGATTCAAATTGGCTACATCCAATGTTTGTTTTTGATATTACCATACCGCCTTCAAATTCACAACAGGAAAGTTTAAAAGTTAACTGTAGGCCTACACTGTTATTATTAGGCTGGCTACCCCAGCGAGGATTTTTTCAAGGGCCATTCCATTCCACAGTATTTATTATTGTACGTAACTTTTGGTAATTTCTCAATCTAAATGTCTAAGTTTCATGGATAACATTAAAAATAAATCCAGCACTGTGGAATTAAACAGGTGCATGTTTACTTCTGGTAAACATTTTTTTTGTAAACTTTTTATTTTAGATTGGCAACATCCGAAATCAACTATTCATTTCACACCGGGAACGCCAAACTATTTTCAACCTATCGTCACGCATAAGTATGTTAAATGCATTTGAATTAAATCCGCATGAATTGAAAATGAATAAAATATTAAATTTTGTATGCATGATTAATTTTTTTTTTTGAGAATGTTAAACGATTAAATATTTCTGAAATTATTGAAAGAAATGAAATATGTTATGATGGATGTAACACATTTATAATAATGTTTGGCATTATTTTGCCGAATAAAATTAGATATAAATCTAATTAGCCTAAGGCTAAGTTAGAAATGATTAGTATAATAAAAGTTACGTCTAGGCCTAGGCCTATATGAATAAAGAAATAATTGATGTCCAAAATTATTACGCAAATAACGTTAGAAACAGATAAAAGGAATAAATCAATACCTACAGATGGCGATTCGTCGGACCTTTTCTTAGCTTCTTGGTCAACAAAATGAACTCCCCCTACGGCCTAGGCCAGCAGGCTGTATGCTCAGCTAGTTCTGTAGTACTAGAGGGTCTAGGCCTCTTTACCCTCTTTGTTCCTACAAAATACACTAAATACTAGGTTATTACTGTTATACCAGGGAGATACACTGGTATAGTAAACCACATTAACTGAATCAATAATTGAAACAAAACTCTTACCCATTGATACTGCTGAAATACTTCCAAGTCTATGTTTAAACAGCCTATCATCAAGAGCTGTAACTGCACCAATTAACTGATACAAATTCAAAAACCAGCATTCTAGGTCTTGAAGTGACCATGGTCAATCCGATTTAAGTAATTCGAGCTGAGTAGCCTGGACCATGGCTGAATGTTAGCAACAAAGATTGTATGCATGCACAGCACATTTTGGTGAACTGTGTCCTGTTGTTGAATTGCTTGAGATTGAATTACTTTTTTAAGAAAATGATTAAGTAAAAGAATTTGTGCTTGTATTCCTATTTCTCTCCTTTAGCCTCATAGGCCTCAATGAGCTAAAAACATCTGAAAAAATATATCCCAAATGTTTCATTCCTTATAGTACCCATAGGCCTATGTGATAACCCTATACTTTGCCCACATATAGGCTGACACAAACAGCTGTGGCGTAGGCCTATCTGGGTGTGGGGAGTAGGGGTTTCCAAGAGCATACGTCCCCCTCCACGGTTCAAACCTAAAAATCACGGTAAAGTAATTAAAAATCAGCTTATTTCGCGAGTGAGCGCCCCTTAAATGATCATCGAGCCCTTCCATTTCACCTTCGAGCCCCTTATACTTTGCCCACATATAGACTGACACAAACAACTGTGGCGTAGGCCTATCCGGATGCGGGGGTAGGGGTTTCCGAGAGCATACGTCCCCTCCCCCGGTTCATCCCTAAAAATCGCGCCCCTTAAATGATTATCGCGCCCTTCCATTTCACCTTCGAGCCCCTTATCAGCACCCCCATTCAAGACTTGTAGAAATGCCACTGGACACAGAATAACCCATGGTTCACCCATTTTTTTTTTCTCTTGTGGGCCTCAAATGGGATTACCTATAGGCCTCCATAGGCCTATTAAAAAAATATATTTTCCACTGCTTTTGCCTATTTTATTCATATATGATTTCTAATTTGCACACAGGGGCTGACCCCCAAAGAGCCCTTATGAATGTTCCCATTTCTTGCCCTCAAGGGCCCCAAATGTGTTAAACTATCTGGGCCTGCCCATTTTGAAAAAATATATATATATCTCAAAATGTTTGGCCCTGATATTGACCATATATTATAACTCCTTACTTTGCCACATGGGCTGACCCATGAATGGCCCAAATGGGTTCATCCATTTTTTTTCTTGTGGGCCCCTAATATGATTACCTATATAATAGGCTTGCCCATATTTAAAAAATATATTTCCCACCTGCCCATATTTATCCCATATATGATCTCCCATAATCTGTCCACAAGGGCTGACCCACAAAGAGCCCTTATGAATGTTCCCATTGCTTGCCCTCAAGGGCCCCAAACATGCTAAATCATATGGGCCTGCCACATTTTGAAAATATGTATCCCTAATGTTGTGGCCCTTACAGTGCCAATATGTGATTGCCCATCCTTCATCCACATTGGCTGTCGCAAAAACAGCCCTTATGGGTCTGCCCAGATTTTTTCTTTTGTGGGCCCAAGTGCGCTTACCCATATGGGCATGCCCACACTTTTTAAATAACGTTCCCATATGTGTTTGCCCACCTAGTACCCATTAGTGACTGCCCATACTTTTCCCACATGGGCTGACCCATAAACTTTGTAAATGGGTATGCCCATATTTTCCCCTTGTGGGCTCCAAATGTGCAAATGTACTAGGGATTGCCCTATTCTTTCCCTCATGGGTGCCAAATGCCCTGACCCACATGTTACCTATATTGGTTTCTCGATCTATTACCCTTACGGGACCCTTAGAATTAAATTCCATATGGTGTAGCCCATACAGGCCCCAAAAGGGTTAAGTGTGGTATGGGCCTGCACACATGGCCCGGATATTTCACATAAGGGCCCCATAAACTTTGCTACCTGGGGACCTTTTGAGATCTTCAACTTAAAAAGCTACATATAACCGGGGTGATGAATTATATGGATTATAATTATTATTAAAATCACAACATTAGCCTGTTACCAGTATTCCGATTTGTTTTATAATTGTCGTGAACTGCATAAATATTTCAAAGTAGGGCCTAACATGCAACTTGTTTATTTTGTTTTGTATATGTTATTTCTTATGTTAGGCATGAATAAAAGGAACAATTAAAAAAAATGTTATACGACTAATTGTGAATGTGTATTGGTCGAATAAATATACGAAATGAATGAATGCATGAAATTTCGGGGACTTCGCCTCCTGGACCACTTTCGAGGCATTTTAAGCGACGTTCGACCACGCCCGCTTTGTTCTCGTCGGGGTGACTTTCCCCCTCGTCGGGGACATCGGCTCGCCGTCGGGGACCGCAGACCACCCCCCTCCCCCACTCCACTCCCGTCGAGCAAATCCTGGCGCCACACCTAGACGTTTATCTTTTCCCCCATAACCTGCGCCCATGGGTGCGTGAGAGTACACCATTTCAGCCCCATCATGGCGAAAATGTTGAGAATATGGACCTCTGGGTGCCCGGAAATAGCACTCTCATGTACCTTTAAAATCTCACCAATCATTCATAGGGGATGCGATCGCACCCTCTGCTCCACCCCCCCCCCCGCATCCGACCCTGATGGCATTACTCAAAGTGCACATTAAATACTGATGTTAATTAACAATGCTTGTAAGACTATGAAAAAAAAATCAATTTACATGTGATGGAGAAGATATAATTTTTTAACTTGTTTAAAACATACTGACAAAAGATGAGGATTTGAATTAAAGAGGAAGAGCATTCCATAATATAATAGGGTGGCACATGAACGCTTGTTAGATGATCTAAGCAGGGGAGGAGTAGATTTATATTGGAGGGAATTAGAGATGTAGTTTGGAGCAAGACCATTGAGAATGCAGAAAATGCAGAATAAAATATTTTTGACATTGTTTACCTGTCTCTGCTTTGACATAAGCAATACATAAAATGCTAATTTAGAAAATTGTATTACTGAAGGTGACAGAATATCCAAGTTTTATGAGGTTAGAATTGTATATATGAATTTAAAAATGTCCAAGCATAATAGGAATTTTAGCATAATTAATATGAATTAGAAATATTGCTTTGATCCTGTACCTGTAGGCCCTAATTAAAAGGCACCCACTGAACGACAAATTTACAACATTAAAATGGGAAAAAATACAACTAACGCGAAGAAATTCAACAGAAATGCAACCTATTCTTTGTTGCTTGTTTTATTTAGTATTTTATACTTCACATGAATATTAATTTAAATTAAGATAGCAAACATAGAAAACCAACAAAAGTTAACTGATTCCTCCAGATTTCAGCTAATGCAACTTATTTCTAAATAATTTACAACAATATACCTGCAATACAACATTGCCGAAAACATCACCAGGATGAAAATACAAACAATAACTACCACTATTACTAGGTAACCGGGTACAGATGATGTGTTGTTAATGCCTTCAAAGAGAAAACACAATAATAGCTATTAAACACTTACACTTTTGTTAAAGCACTGGATCAAGTGTTTATTATTACACTTCATTTTAATTAAACGTATAGTTTCCTTTGACCTACTCTCAGTAGTAGACTTTTAAATTAGTTTAGTTTTTGTAAATTATGATCACAATCTTCCTATGATTAACATTATCTTACTCGTCACCAACATTACCGTAAGGACAATAACTATGACCATCATCATGATCATCATTGTTATCATCATCACGACAATAAAGTTTAAGATTTGGGTTTACAGGAAAAATGGCTGTAGTAAGTTTTTGTAAAAATATTTTCTCACCTATTAGAGTAATACATGAGGATAGAGACAACCAAATAATAATTATTATCAGAGTAATAGCAATGGAAATTTTAAGCTATAAAAAAGGCAAACTTACCAATGACATTAACAACGAACATACATTTGCCTTCATTACCAGCCATATCATAGGCATTACAAGTGACATTAGTTGAACCAACATAAAATGATGAGCCAGAGGACGGACTACAAGACGCTGACAGACCAGAATCTACGTTGTCACCGACTACTGGGCCCGTCCATGTAAGTGTAGCTTGGTTTGATTCTGTAGTTTCATCAACATTAGCAGGACACACTAAAGTAGGACTCTTATGATCTTCTAAAATTTCGGATGATAAGAAAAATGGATGTAATAAATTATATGAAAAAAAAATATATATTCTCATAAAAACACATTCTTACCCAAAATAGTAATATATTAAGACAACTAAATAATAATAATGTTATAATAACAATTATTATTATAAGTCAATGGTGACGTCATCACTTTCATGTGCACAAAATTTTCATATTCCCGACTGATCACCAATAAGTATTTAGAATAGTTGCGTATCCTACACTAGTGGAAATGTTATACGAAGGTTAGATTAGTGCATGGAAACATTCTGAGGGCCTACAATCAGTGGCGGCTCAAGAATTTATGGGGTGGTGGGCTAAGATGTCCGACTTGGGGAGCTAAGTATTTATGTATGTAACTATAGCCGAAGGCCCGAGCTGGGGGGTGGGTATGGGAGGGAGATGTCTCCTCCTCCCAAAACGAAATTTGTTTAAAAAAAATAGGACTTCTAGACTAGTACATGGCCGGAAATGGCTGGGATGGGAAAATTAGGCCTATTTTTTTTTCGACTGCCCGACGAGCTTTGGCCGATGGGGGCGGGGGGAAGGGTTGACTAGACCGATGGGGGCGTCAACCCCTGCCCCCCCCCCCGCTGGCGCCGCCACTTCCTACAAGGCCTGAAGGACTTCTTTAATGCATTAATTTAACCAGGTTAGAAATATAAATGTTTTCAAGCATCTATGAGAATGTATAGTAATCACATTTTGGTCTGTGTAGGCTGAAAATAAAATTATTTCATCTAGGCTCACAAATGAACCTAGGCTAGGCTAGACCAGGGTCTACTGCCAACATCTAAATTTGTTCCCGTAATCTTTGAAATAGGTCTAAATAGGACTCAAATATTTCTATTAAATGTTTTATGAATGTTATCTTTTTCAATGACCACTTGTTAACAAACGACGATTGGGCGGGTATCTGCCCGGCCTCTCTTTCCGCAGGCGCGCGTCTTAATGCTGGGTTAAAAACAATAGTCTAGAATTCATTTTCTTACGCACAAGAACCTAAAAAAGATCAAGCAAACCGTTGTACGGTTGGGGATAGGAAAATAACATTTTGAGTTGCAGTTCGACATAGTGCCAAAAACATTTTGCGTCTCGTGTGCAAAAAAGCTCAAAGCTGGTGATTTTACCAAGCAGGGACGTAGCCAGGATTTTGAAAGGGGTGGGGGGGGGGAGCCGTTATGCGAATTACGTATGACCCC